AAAAAAAAATTAATGAAATTCCACTGCTGGAAGAGAACCACAGTTAGCATTTTGGTGTACTTTCTTGTCATCTTTCTTGCTTGTGTTTAATTTAATGAGATCATATTTATATCTAATAAATGATGTACTTTAAAAAAATTTTTTTTTAAAAGAGAAAGAACTAAAGAGTCCTAATAGTAAAAGCTGTTGATTAGCTTCTGTTGTTCATAATTACTACTTTATATTTTAGTTTTTAAGTTCAAATGTGACTCTATGCATCTGACTGTTGTTAGAAGGGATACTACCGCTCAAAGTTCAGGCAGAGACCAGAGATAATTGAAGTGGATTGTAATTTATTTGCAATTTAACTTTTGGGTGAACTGCTACTATCACAAATACCTAAGAAAGTGGTGGGGAAGAAAAGTTTTAGATAAAAATCACATTCGAGGAGACTGAAAGTGAAATTATATAGTTTTTGCCTGTTGCACATAAAATGTTTTTGGGAAGACCAATACCTCTGCCATAATGTAGCATGCAGAGCAAAACTTGGGGAGAGCACTCCTCTACCCCACCCCTGCCTTCCCAGCCCTTTACCTCATTCTCCATCTAAGGCTGGATGGAGCTTTTTCACTCTAACCAGCCAGTGATTTCAAATGTATGCAACTATTCTTGCCAGATGAAGAACATATTTCCTATTTTTGCTGCCAAGTCTGGGCTCCAAGATCCTGAGTCATACGCGCTTTCAACCCCCTGAGCTCTTCCCCACTGTATCAGTGGTTCCTTTCCAGTCTAACCAGTATCTCTTGTGCAGCCCTACTATGGTAGCATCTTGCTTCTGCCTGTCCTGGGTGTATATTTAATAAGACGTGGTACTTTGGCCCCTAATAGTTCTTTTTTAAGCTTCTACAATTTATGATGCCTTTGAATTTTTTTCTTGTTCTCGTTAAAATGTTATTTAAATTCACTCATAAAATGTAATTTTCTCACATATAACACTCATTTCAAATGCATCAGGGAATGGAATACATATAAATACAAGGCATGTTTTTAATTCTGATAGGGACAGCCTTCAGAGTTTCTTAGCAGTGTGGATAGACAACTAAATTTGTTCCTATATCAACTTAGTTTGCTTTTATAATTTGAAATAACTGGTTTAAGTATATTATGTTAAAATTTTTTCATTCAGCTGCCATTGAGACAAAAAATAAGCAATTAGACAAATTACACTTTGTAAACCAAAGAGGAAGTTCTGGAAGAGATGGGAAAGACTTGTGACATGTGCATCTACAACCACAGAGTGCTGTGTTTTCCAGAAGTCCTGATTTTATAATTTTTTCCCCCAGACCAGTCTGTTGAACTCAGGATACAAAAGAAAAACAGCGTTTTTGTACGTTTCACACTTTTGCAGTCCGAGTTGAGATTGCATTAGTGGAGTGGAGTGGGCACTGAACTGGGATCAGGCGACTCGCATCCTGGTCCACGTTCTTCTGATGAATTTGGGATTCTGATCAAGCTACTTAAAACTCCTGAGCTTTAAGTTCCTCATTGTTAACTGAAGATTTGGACAACTGGATCATTGATTCTCAACGTTGTATATTGTGACCTCTGGTCAGGAGGGGAGCCTCAGTGGTTTTGGGGGAGTCCAGAAGTCAGGGGGAGGCTGAGCAGCTGGGCCTCTGCAAAGCCACCAGCTCCACCCCTCACCCTGCTGTCACCCCTCTATTGCCTTAGCACTTGGGGTTTGTTTTTTTTTTTTGAAAGTTACTTTTAATACATTGTGGTTGTCTGTAAATTTTAATGTTAATAGTAGTTCGCAGTTTTTTAGAAAATTCTTAAAAAGCTCTGGTTTAGATGATTTAGATGGTTTCTGAGGTCCTTTCTAGTTTTGACGTTCCATGATTCTGTGTACCTGTTCACTTACCTGCCTAAATCCTGCCTTCTAAGCTCTCTCACCTCTGTAGGGCCCACGAAAGAAGACACCACCATGTCTGGTTTAATCCTGCATAACTGAGCACGTGGCCTGGCAAATCATAGGATTCAGTGCATATTCATTACGTCAATAAGTGAGCTTCTGCTTAACTAGTGCCATTGTGTCTCTGAGAGAGAGAGAGCCTTTCCCTCTGCAGGAAGAGGGGGATGGTGGTGTCACTTTGCCATCCCTGTTTGTATTGCACGCTGAACCTGCATGCACTAGACCTCTGGTGCCTAAGCGAAGTCTAAAAAAAAAAAAGTCCCTCTGGTCTGGTGTTACTGCCGCTGATCATTAGAGTGTCACCTTTACATATGACTAGATACAAAAAGTGTTCTGTGGCTCCCGTTATGAGAAAGACCAGCTCAGTCCGCTCTTCCTTTGGTTTCCTAAACAGCATCCTTGTCAGAGTCTGGCTTCTGGATTCTCATGGCCAGGTCCACATGCTTTCTATCACCATGGCTTCCCAGCATCCACATGCTTGTTTCTGGTTGTACTCTGCATCCCCGCCTTCTAGGGCCTTGTCCCCTGTGACCAGCGAGTCTCTATCCTGCCACTGCCTGTGCTCTGTGGGCCCCTGGCAGACGGTGCTTTCCTGAGCTGTGGTCTGATGCCCTTACAGCTGCCGGTGGCAGTGAAAATGCCCTTTCACTATTGAACGTGGCTCCTAGCAAACAGTTCTTTTGTTCCCCTGCCAGTGCGCCCCAGACGTGTGGGGATGGAGGGTGGGCTGTCGCTGGAAGGCTGTGAGGCTGTGAGGCTGTGAGCTGAGGCTGGGGATCAGGACAGATGGCCCCCAATACTGCTCCGGTCTCCTGTTTTCTCTTCCCACCTTAGCCCTTCAAGTAAGATGCTGAGGCATAGGCATGCTTGATTGCTCTTGTCAGTTGGGTCGAGCATCTCCCTGGTGACTATATTTCATGGCTCCGAACAGGGTTGCCTCTTCTCAGCAGTGTCGAAATCATGGCATGGGCACAACAATGGGGGCCAAGAGACTGGGGCGGGCTCCATGTGGTATCTGGTATCTGTCATCTTCTGTAACACTTACGTTCTTCCTGTGGAGATGGCAGAAGCCAGCGTTTTTGTCTCTCATTTAATCCATCTGGCCTCTCCATGTTGTGTGTGTCTGTCTGGATCAAGATGGAGCTTTGTATTCTGGGACCCATTATCTCTGAGGCCCTACCTGTGCTTGACAGGTCAGGGCATCCACAATCTGCTCCCTCTTCTATGCAAATTACATACCCTTCCTGGCTCTCAGCACGTGGCTTCGACATCTCCCAGAATAAATCAGTTTCTGTTGCTACATGCAACAACATGCTTTGTTTTCTTCTTAAAAAATATATGGTCCCATTTTTTTTCTGTTAAAAGTTGTCAAATTGTAAGTCTTCCTATCAATACGGAAACTGCTTTTTGTTGGGGTCAGGAGGTGAAACACAATGAAACCAAATACTCTCTTATTAATTGTATCTATTGATTTTAAGATAGATCTAGTTTATAATTTTAAATGTGAAAACCGTATGTCGAGAAAACTTGCTTTTGAGTAGCTTGCCCACTTTCTTTTATTCTTTTATCAGGATATAAGAAAAGGCATAGCTCTAAAATATACATAACTTAGGTTAACCATATGAGATTTGAAGAAGGTAAATTTAGGTTAGTAAATCAGCTAATATGAGAGATTCCTGGGTAATTTTTTTGTTTATTAGTTATAAAACAGCATATTGCAGTTGATATCTCAAATTTTCTATGGTCGGCATTTTGCACACTCCTAGGCACTTTTCAGTACTATG